TTTAAAATGCCTCTTTTGCCAAATGATCCTCGGCAACGGCGTCATCGGGTCGAGAAGTGCTCTAGGATATTATAGGAGCAAAAGTGTGTAGGGAGTAAAAATTACTACGAGGAGCAATTAATCAATTGAGGAGCAACTCTTCCCGAGATGTGCAAGCGCACACGTCAAGCAATACATGATTTTTAAAGAGCCCCAGATTATCGTCCTCGAGGAACAAATGTAAAAATGACGTTTGAAAGAAGTTTAAATAAGAAAAGAAAAACTGAGAGCAAATAGAAAGTAAGAGCAATTCACTTCAAGGAGTAGATTCGTTCTCAAACCAAGGTTAGCCAACAAGCACTTGTCACCAGCAGATTGGACAAAGTCAAAGAATCTGAGTGACTAAGAGCTGGGTTTTCCCCTTAAGTTTTATTGAACTTTACCTTGAAGGAAATTGGGAAACATGGAAATTAAGAGCAATGAACAGAAAATAAAGAGATTAGGAGCAATAGTGGCAGAAACAGAGAGCAAAACGTTAATTCTTTTGGGATTTTTATATTTATCAAATAAGTAATAAAAGAGAAATAAAATAATATAGAATCAAGATAAAAAAATCGTAGGTTTAGGTTTGTATTTTCGCCTTCTTGGTCGTTCCTACAATGTCATAAGTTTTCAGAAATAAAATATGCTCCCAACAACCTTTAAGGCTTTAAAGACAGATTGCTCTATCATCAAGTTTTAACACGCAAGCAGTTTGGAGCAAAGGCCTTTTACACCAAACTACTTTAAGAGTCTTATGGATTAAAGCTCAAGGGAGATTATGTTTGCCTTCTCAAAAGAGCATGACTGAAGGGATCACTAGCAAAATTGATTTACATATAACAATGCTCCTCTTTTCGGATATTCCTCTGACTTAGAGCAAAATACCCTAAGATTTCTAACGTTGCTCCACACTGCCTTGTGAGGGTCTTATCGACCAAGTGGTCCCGGGATGAAATTGCAAACAAGGGGCATCACAATATTAAAACATTAAACAAAGAAATAACACATATTTCATTAAAGAAAATAGATTTTCATTACAAGTTCAACCTAAGACAAAGAGGGGTACTTATACTTCACCTTTGCCTACTAAAAATAACTAGCTCATACAAAGGAGCATAATGAAATCCTAAATACAAAAAGAAAATAAAAATAAGAAGAGAAGAAATTCCAAAGGAGGACGTTGAGTCCTCTTCTAATTGGTTGCTTTTCTGCAAAAAAGACGATGTACAGTGCTTTTTCTGCTGCTTCTGATTTGAGTCCTTTTTGTGTCCTTTTTCTCTTTCTTCTTTCTTTCTCTCCAAGTTTACTTTATCTATGAGTTGGGCCTCTTTTAAATGGACATTGGGCCTCCTGAAAATGCATAATTCCTTAAGCCCAAAAGTAATAAAAATAAATTATTTTACATTCAGTTGCTCTTTAATTTCCAGAACTGCGAATTGCTCCAGCTTTATTCACAGAAAAGTGCTCTTGGCTGAAAAATTAGAATAAAGCACTAAAAAATAATAGAAAAAAATGGAATTAAAGAGCATGTAAACAATGAATAGACCTCAATTTTTGAGGCCTATCACCCAACATGAAATTATCCATTAAAATACCATTTTTCACCTAGATACATCTATCCCATCGACTTACCATGCATTGTAACACTTGGTTTTATCAATCAATGTTCAAGTTATCAAAACTCATAAATTTACATCTACAAATCATGTTATTTTCATGAAAACACAAAGGGGAGTGTTGAGATATATACCCATGTGCTTCAAGACAGAAAAAGGAAGGGACTTCAAGACTTAGCTCCACCCTCAAACACTGCCAAGAGGAATGCACGAACTTGGCTTGGTAAAACTTGGTGCTTTCTTCACAAAGGAGGTTTCTTGATGGTCAATGATGGATGAAAGTTTTTCAAACTAACAAGATGATGAAATTTTAGCTCTCAACTTCAAAAGACAGCAGCTTGCAACCCCAAAGGAAGGTCTTTTCTCCTCCCCAAAACTTGCCCTCAAGTGTTTGTCAAGGTTCTATGGTGAAAATATAAATAAAAGTGGTTTCTTGGTGATTTTTCTTCAAGAGAAAGTAATGAAACTATGGTGGAAAGCAAATGGCAGCAATGAGGGTGAAAGGAGAAGGAGCCTTAGTGTAAGAATTAAGGAATAGACTCACGCACGACACTCATTTAACTCACTATTAATATTGGAATACAATGTCTTATAGATTTTATGACACATAAATCTATAATTTATTTTCAGTTCCGGGTATTTTTCTATACATTTCTACTGTGGTACCCGCAATATCAACAATTTTCACCGAAAATGACTAAATTCCAATGATTAATATTTCCTACTAATGTTACCATAAATATTTTGTTGTCATTAACTTCATAAAATTTATGGAATAATAATTGTTAACTATCTTTAAGTTTCGGGCAATTTTGCCTACTGTAATTTTACTGTGAAACCCTTAATATTTATTCTTTTCACAAAAAGATGCTTTAACTTAAGGGAAAAATATGTGTTATTTTAAAAGATATAAAGTTGTGTCATTTTAAGTGAGAGAAAGAGATAGATCATGAGAGGAGAAAGTGGATAAAAATAAATAAAGGTGTGGGTCCTACTTCTTTGTGAGAGTTAATTGACATAAATTGTGTCATTTAAAAGGACAAACACTTTTTCCTTAACTTGAATTAATTAAAATAATTAAATTTTTCATTTAATTATCCTCATTTAATTATTATTTAATTTTTAAAATTATAATTTAACGATACATATTCTTACAAGATAACTCTCCAATTTTGAGAGCATGTGTGAAGAGATAATCCCCTTATTCACGCTATATATAGGTTATGTGGAATAATGGTTAGGAAGGTTGTCCATGTAGCGGGGTTTTTTTTCAAGTGATTAGTGAGGTGATAGTGTGCCTAGTGTATGGTTATGTGTTATGGAGGGGAGCTAGGAGAGTGGGGCAATAAGATACTTATTGCATGTCTATAGTGGGGAGAGGAAGTTGAGAGAATTTAACTCTTAAGAATATTCATCTCATAGATAGTACTCATTTAGAGTACAAGATCAAATATGCAAAGTTTCTTAGAGAAATTTATAATAACCAACTAGTTTTACAATGATCTGAATTACATCTGGCAAAATAGTTAATTACTCGTACGTTCTCTTCATTTACCACAATAAAACAACAGAGAATAATTGTTAGCACCAAAATATATATCTATTTATTGTATAACTTTATGTGATTTTATATCTTTTTGGGTTGTTAATATGTGATGTTGTAGGTGAATGGGGCCCAAAAGAGTAAGTTAAGGCCCAACTAAAAAAGAGAAGGTAAAAAAATAAAAAAGAAGAATTTGGCTTGTTTTCTTACACATTTTATTTTTTTTCTTTCAGCAGAAGGCACACGTGGGTCAATTGGAACCATTGGATTAAAAAACGATGGATGGCTACTGATGAAAGGAGGATTTTTTGTTTTTAGTTAATATGTGTGGACAGTGTGGTTTGTAAAAAAGAAAAGAGACGAGAAATACAAATTTAGTTTTTTTTGAGATTTAGAGTTTTCCAAAGTTTTACGTTTTAAAATCTCTTCTGTAATTTCTCTGAAACTGTGTTGAGAACCATTGTGTAAAAACTTTCTTGCATCACTATTCAAGATCCAGAATCTCAAGCATTGACAAGCTGAAGAAGCAAGGATCGAAGGAGGTGCATGCAAGTGGAGAAAGATCCTGCTCTAGTTTAGGATCGGTATTCTGTTGAACAATTTTTCTGATTTTATCTTTTAATGCATGTTTCTGTTTTCTTTAATCTTTCATTTTCGTTATATGAATATGGCTTTCTAATTTCCTTTCTGTTCTAGGTATGTTAAAAATGATTGGATGAATTTTTGATGTTCTTTGTTACTGTTTCTTTATCTCATTCGTTTGATTCTTTCACTTTTCAACTCAAGAAATCCATGGGAATGGACTTGAGTTTTTCAACAAAAAGAAATTGGGAAATGGATTTTTGTTAAGTGTCAAATGAACCCTTTTGGATTAGGGATAATCAAAGGTGCTTTCTGATAAATTTTTGTAAAGATTCAAGAAGCTTAGGGAAAAGTTCTTCTTGAACCTGATTGTTGATTCTGGAAAGTTTCAACTAAACTTGCCGTAGCAACTCAGAAACTGAAATAAACTCATTGTAGCACTGTACGAATTTGCAGTTTGCAAATATTTTTGTCATCCATGATTTTGAGATATACCCAGAAGCCTTTTTACATTGATAATCATTTCTTTACTTTTTAGTTAAATTCTAATGCATGATAACGACTATACAAAACTTTCTTGTTCTAAAAAAACCAATTAAATTTCAATTACAAAATTTTTAATTCAGAAAAATAAATAGAAAATACTTCATACCGTTCCCCGAGAACGATACTCTTTCTTTTGAAAATTACTACCCAACAAAAATGGCGCCGTTGCTGGGGAACGGTGTTTGATTTTATTTTCTTTTTGAGATTCTGTTTTAGACTTCTTGATTTTTTTTCTTCTTTTTTCTTTTTCCTTTTTACATATTTTTCTTGTTATCTACTGACTCCAATTTCAAGTTCTTGAAAGATTTCTGCAGAAATTCAATTCTGGTTACAGTAACAAGCAGTATTACACAATTGTTGCTGAATTATTGAAGATGGCAGAATCGAACCATGGATCTGTTAATGGAGAAAACATCGGTGGCAATGGGAATGGCAACCATGCTCTAGTTACGGTGGATGAAGAGCTTCCCATTGCTGAATATGCTATTCCATCACTTGATGGAGTAATTCTTGGTATAGTCCAGCCTGGAGTGGAGGGGAATTTTGACCTCAAACCAGGAATGATATAGCTGTTGCAATCTATGTCTCAATACCATGGATTACCCAAGGAAGACCCCCACAAGCATATCACAAAATTTATGAAAATCTCTGATACCTTTTTTGTTCATGGAGTATCCACCGATGCTATGAAGATGAGGCTTTTCCCTTTTTCTCTAGCTGGGGCAGCAAAAGAATGGGTTGAAGATCTGCCTGCACAGTCCATCACCACGTGGAAGGAGCTTGGAGAAGCCTTCCTTATGCGATTTTTCCCACCCACAAAGGTGTGTGATTTGAGGGATGACATCACAGGGTTTAGACAGTATGTGGATGAGTCAATCCATGAGAGCTGGACTAGATTAAAGGGGCTGCTCGAAAAGTGTCCTACACATGGTCTTCCTAAGTAGGCCACCATTCAGATTTTCTATAGAGGATTGAGTCACCAAGGCAAAACTCATCTGGATGCTACTGCCAATGGAATGTTTTTATTGAAGAGGTATCCAGAGGCTTTTAAGACACTTGAGAGAATAAGCCAAAACAGTTGCCAATGGCCTGAACAAAGAGATGAAGCTCCAAAGAAGGCAGCTGGACTTTATGAAGTGAGTGAAATCACTTCCACGGCAGCTGAGATGGCATCACTGCATAACACTTTCAAGGTTTTAGTCAAGCAAATGGCTGAAACCAAACAGCCACCACTTGCTCAACTAGCTGCAGCCACACCTATTTTCTCACTTTGCTATGGTGCCCATTTGTTTGAAGAATGCTCAAGCAATCCCTCTTCAGCCTACTATGTTGGTGACTACAACAGAAACTACAATAATAGAGGGAACTATAACCAAGGTAGATGGCAACAACAAGGTGGAGATTTTGGGCAGAATTAAGGCCAAAATTACCATAAAAACGTTGGAAATAGAAACCAGAATCAGTCCTTACAAGGAGAGCAACAAGCTTATCAACCAAAAGTCCCATTTCCACCTTGTTTCGACTCTCAAATGCCTTTAGATCAGCAAAGGAAGCCTAATGGAGAAACTCAGCCTCTTCCAAATGATCAGTGGTCAAACCGAATGCTGCAAAATCATGAGGCCATGCTTCAAAGTCATGGAGCAATCTTGAAAAGCTTGGAGACACAAATGGGGCAGATTGCATCCTCTCTTAGCAATAGACCGGTGGTAACTCTTCCTAGTGATACTGAAGCACCAAGGAGATAGGGAAAGGATTTTTGTAAAGCTCTCCATTTGAGAAATGGAAGAGAGGTTGAACAACCAGAGCATGTTATTAGGCCTTCTACCTTGAGGAAGATGGCAGAAAAAAATGTTCAACCAATTGAAGAGGAAGAGCCTAATGTAATTAAGTGCAAGATTCAGAAAACAACAAGGAGCAAGGTGATTTGAGAAAAGCAGAAAAATCAGCACCTAAAACAAAGGAGCCAGCCAACCCTATGCAGAAAAATGAAGGCATTTCACCAAGATCAAGGGCAAGGAAGATTCCATTTCCACAAAGGCTTCAAAAACAGAACCAGGAGCAGCACTTTAAGAGGTTCTTAGACATCCTCAAGCAACTCCAGATCAACATTCCATTTGTGGAGGCCCTTCAACACATGCCAAGCTACATCAAATTCATGAAGGACATCCTATCAGGGAAGAGGAAAATAGAAGAGTTCGAAACAGTTGCACTTACCAAAGAATGCAGTAGCATTGTCTCTACAAAAGTACCTCCTAAAATGAAGGATCCAGGTTCTTTTACTATTCCATGTGTTATAGGAGATAGTTATATTAATAGAGCTTTATATGATTTAGGCTATAGCATTAATTTGATGATTGCTTCTATTTTTAAGTAATTTGGAATAAAATCTGCACACACAACATTAACTCTCCAATTAGCTGATAGGTCCATTGTTTACCCTGAAGGAAAAGTGGAAAATATTTTGGTAAAAGTGGAAAAATTTATTTTTCCAGCTGACTTCATAATCCTTGATTGTGAAGTTGATGAAAATATCCCTATTATAGTAGGAAGACCATTTTTAGCTACATGGGGTGCAATGGTAGATGTTAACAAAGCAGAGTTAACAATGAGGGTAAATGATGACACTATAACCTTTAGTGTTTTTAAAGCCATGAAATATGTGGATGATGATGTTGATGATTGTTCTGCCATATCTGTCATTAATCACTTGGTTGCTGCCCATGTTAAAGAAAATTTTGAAATAAATGAATCTGCATGTGAATCTGCCATTTTTGAAATTAATGAGAAAATTGCATCTGATCATGATCATGCATGTGCATTAACATCTTATCCTACTAAGTTCTTTGGTGATAAAAATTTTGAGTCCCTTGGACTTCATGAAAGAATCACCAAACCTCTTAAACCACCCATTGTGGAACCACCTGAAGTGGAGTTGAAAGAACTCCCAACCACCCTTAAATAGGCTTTTCTAGGAAGAGATAGCACTCTCCCAGTAATTGTTGCATCTGCCCTCAAAAGCAATGGTGAAATTCAGCTACTAAATGTGCTTAAAAATCATAAGAGAGCCATTGGTTGGACCATGGCTGATATTAGAGGCATTAGCCCTTCTTTTTGTATGCACAGGATAAGGCTAATTGATGAAAATAACAATTCTATTGAGCCTCAAAGAAAGCTCAATCTAACCATGAAAGAAGTGGTCAAAAAGAAAATAATCAATTGGTTGGATACAAGACAAATTGTCCTGAATTTCAAGATAAGAATTAAATTGTTTTCATGCAAGATTCAATGGGTAAAGCATTACTGGAGCAACTATGTAGATAAAGAGAAGACTTTCATTTCTTTATTAGATGCTGGGTGAAATAAAAAAGGAGTTTAATTGATTAGTTAGCTAGTATATGTACTTGTAGCTGTTGTAGCTTAGGTTAGTTTAGTGTGTGTAATTGCTGATATGTTTCTGAGTAGTTTTCAACTTGTGGTAGTGAGCTTGAATTTTTAGATGCTACGTAAGAGTCATAATATTTTTTTACTGTCCATGTGTTAGTGTTGTCTTCTTAAAACCAATGAAAAATTTGTTCTGTGAAATAAAAAGAAAGAGTTGATTGAGAAGTTAAAGAGGCTCTCTTATGCTAAGTGAACATTATGAGAGTGCAAATCACTAAGTTTGGGGTAAGTGTGAGCTACCTATGTTAAGCACAATTCAATTTCTTGACCCATTAAGTTGAACGTACCTTAATAAAAAAAATGTGTGCAGTGAGTGTTTACTTTTGCAAAAGGATTATAAAAAGAGAGGGGAGTGTCTTGGATCCAAGTTTTTCATGACTCTCATTAAACATTGTTTGGTCCATTTTAATTCTATAACCTAATGCTGTAAATTTAGAAATATATTGAATTGGGTAGAAATTAAAATGTAGAAAGTGCTAAAAAAAAAATTGAACTTAAGGAAATAAGGTTAGGAGATTGTGTCTTAGGCTGTTCTAAATTAGATTGAGTCCAAACAGTGCTTTCCCTCCTTTTTGTCCTCTGTGTTTCAATCCATTTTGCCACTTCAGCGTCACCTAATTGGCACAAATACAAACATGGTAATTTAGAGTGGAGTAACAACTCTTACGTAGTTATTTCAGACGGTGGTCTGCACCCAATAAATGCTTTTAAGCTGCTCTCTAGTACACTACTAGTGGGGAAAACACGGTTTGATGTGACCAATCTCTGCTCTAATCTCATTTCAATTGCACCCAAGTAAAGTGACACTTCTTTTCTTCTCTCTCCGCAATCACCATTTTTTTTCCTCTACTTCACCAAACCCTCATCACCACCCATATCTCTCTTTCTTCATGTTCAGCTGAGAATATCCATTTTTTTAGTAGCTCTTCACCGTCTTGCTTGCTGTGTGAACTGGGTTTGAATTTAGCTGCATAGGGTTTGGATTTTGAGCTGGGTTCCATTTTCGCTCAAGCTCAAGCGAGAACTTTTGGATTTCATTACATATAGATCTCGGTTCGTTTCTCTCAAATCCTCCTCACCGCTGTGTGAACTCAGGTATGTTAAAAATAAAAAAACATGACTTAACTTGATTTTGCTTCTGATTGTAATCTTTTGACCCTGTTAACATTATTCCATTTCGTTAAACAAACCCTCATTCTGAATTGTAATTATTTTTTTTATTGTTTGGGTTTGATTTCATATGAGGAATTTTATTTTTATTTTTTATATTTATATTTTTATTTATTTTCTTTTCTTTTCCTTTCACTTAAACGACTTTTGCATTTTTGCTTTGAGTTATATCCTATTTTTCTTTTCCTTGTTCTGTATACTCTAAACTCTATCTTAGCTTTACCTGACATGTTGTGAGAGATGAAGACAACAATATTGCCAAGAAATATAGGTACTCCCTGATTTTGCAATTTTGCATGTGCCTGTGAAATGTTTCATCTCAAACTAAATATTTTTTTTAGCTTACATGAGTGGTATGTCTAATTTTCTGAATATGATTTTTTTTATTAAATTACTGTCATTTATAGGTGTTTTGTTCCTAGGTTGATGATTATAAAAATTCTGAGTTGTAAATTGCTTCTTATATTCTGTAATTTTTGATACTGAAATTTGTGGATAATATTTATTTGCTTTATTTTATTGCTGATTCCTTTTGATATTTCTGATTTCCTTTATTTATTAGCAGACCATTTTTCTTTCGAATTGCTCACTGATTCATATTGCAGTACAATGGCACCAAAAGGAGGACTCCTTCTCTGATGATTGAGTCTTCCCTTCTTTCTGCTGACCTTCTCACGGTCACACAGGTTCTTTTTATCAAAAAAATTTATAACTTACCATTATTTTAGTTAATTTTATCTAAGATTGTGCATGACCTATTTTATTTGCTGTGAGGACCCAGCTTAATTTTAAGTTAGGGGTGATTAATTGCTGTTACCATTTTTTTTGCTAAAAAAAATGATGATAAAAATTCACTCTGTTTTGAATGCTTGATTAGCTAGCTGAGTGGTAACTTGAAAATGATTTATAACATGATATGTTTAACATTATCATTGCTTAAGTATAGCCAGATTTAATTAAATTAATCCCTAGTCAATTAAGGATCTAACTTAGTTGATCAGTATTTATATAAGCTGAAAATCAATTTACATGCCATAAAAAATGTATTGTGATCCCTAATTTGCTGATTCACTGATAAACCACTGGATTAACAACCCATGTGAGTTATTTAAACCTAAACACTCTATTCATTTGTGAGTGGTCGCTGTGTATTGGTGTTTTGAATACTGCACTATGTTTGGATGACTGATATGTTATTTCTATGTGATTGGGCATTGTTTCTGAATGTATAGCCTAGAGCCAAAAGCCTCACCCTTTGATTATATCCCTTGGTCCCTATATTTGAGCCTAGACCTTTCTTTTCTGATTATGTACCCTGATATTATGAGCCAAATTCCTTGTCCAACCTATATAGCTATCTTAGTATTTAGCTAATTCTCATTAGTTTAGAAATAAAGTAAGCTAAACAAGGCAAAGAGAAATTGGTTGTGTAAATAAAAAAAAAGGGAAAGAAAAAGAAAAGAGGATCAGGAGGTAAAAAAAAGGAAAAAAAAAAGGAGATCTCTGAGCTTGCTCTTAAAAAAAAGAAAAAAAGAAAAGGCAAAAGTAAAAAAAATTGTGAAATTGATCAATAAAAAAGAGAAAGAAGTTATAAAAAAGGGAGAAGAGAGTTAATAATTTCCCTTTGTCTTGTTTAGGCAAAATTCAGAAAAAGATAATGAGGATTAGTTAGACACTAAAGTGTTAGCTTAATTAGCCAAGTGACAAGAAAAACAAAGATCCTCGCCCTGCCTCATTACAAGCCTTAAAGACCCTTTGATGGAGGTAGCATATTGGACTTCAAGTTTCTAAATGGTAGTGTAGGTTGGAAGCATTCATGCATGATGATAATGAGTGAACTTCCTTATAAAAGAGAAGAGTGTGATTGATTGAATATATCTGGAAAGGAATTCAGTGGAATGTCAAATGAATCAAGTTAAGTCAAGGGTTGCAACTGTTTGAATGAGCATGAATTTTTGATTGAATGCTTATGTAATTGTTGATTGACTGGAGTTGGATGATTAATTTGATGTAGGAATTGGTTGACATTAAGTCCGGTCAATGCTTTAAGAAGTGTGGTGTTTTGCATAGATGGTTGATAAATTTAACTAAGTTATTAAAATTAACTATGTGTTGCTATGTGACTCTGTGAATT